TCTTTTTAAGGATCCCATGGGTCCCTGTCTCCCCTTCGCAAGTTATACCCCTTCGCCAAAGCCGTCGTGGGAATGTCGCGTTCGCGTGAGGGAAAATCCGCGACGTTGTCCTCAGACCGAATGTACCGGAAAACCACGTGTATCCCCTCGTCGCGGAGAAGTTGGTCCACCTGCTGTAGCTCGGCCGCAAGCGCTCCCGATTTCGAAATTCCGCGTCGCACCGCCCCCAGAACTGATGTGTTGTCGATCAATACAAACAATCGTCTCGGTAGGCGCTCTCGAAAAGCCAGCAGCCCCAGGTGCACCGCACGCGCCTCAGCCTGCATGATCATCCGCGGTGAAGAATCCCACCGAGCCCCCGTGATGAATACTGGACCGGCGCCCAGAAAAAGAACCGCCCCCCAACCCTGGAGCGAAGCATCCGTCACCAATGTGGCTGTCGGCTCACCCCCCGGCCGATGCACGAGACGCGCCTCGTTTCGGTGCAAGACCTCCAACAAATCAGACGCGAAAACCCCGGATGTAGGGCGTCATGGTGATCTTGCTCCTGGTGGTGATCTTACCTCTATTGAGGGAGCTCAGCTGGCGTCTCACAAACTTCAGAAACATGTAGTTACGAAACAGGCGGACGCCCAGCACCGCCGCGCCATAGATGGCGCGGGATGTAAAGACCTCCAAATCACCCACCGTCATCTCCTCGAAAGGAGGGGTCTCCCGCAGATGGCGCCATGTCTTTTCACCTAAACGTACAGTATGAGTTGCGTGATCAAAAAACACCCCGACGAATGTATATGACGCAACCGCAACCTCCGACTCACCAATCGTGACGCTGGCGTCCCGCGCGAACTGTGTCACACGCCGCGTCCAGGCCTCCACGGCCTTCAGGGGACCAGCAATTCTCACATTGTCTATCCAGACGTGGATTTTCAATGCCGTTGGGCAGGCGAAGGCGGCATCGACCACAGTGGGTACTCCTGCCAACGCCGACGTTAACAACTGCATAAGCTCCGGACTCGCAGCATACCCCATCGGCAGCCGCGCCAGCTCAACGAGGGTGCCGTCGTCGAGGCGGCAACGAAAAGCCGAACGCGCCTCCTCAGGCAGCGGTACCTGGTAAAACGAGGCTTTCAGGTCCAAATTGGATGCGCCTTCCTCCCACACAACGTCGAGGTATGCGGAAATGTGACCCAACGGCACGTCAGCCTCGTAGGAGTCCTCCAGGTTCTTCTCTTTCGGCCACGCGATAAACCTCCTACGTAGCCCCGAAGGTTTCTCCTCCACAACCGAGAAAGGAACGAACCAACCCCGCGTAGGTCTCGGAGACGCCGGCACCAAGACGCCTGCCGACATGAGGACTCGGGCATCACCTTCAAAAATCGTCCTGAGCGGTGACGTTCCTGGATCGAGCTGTTCCGGCGATGACAGTAAACGCCATAACTCGTCAAACCGCGCCTTGGCCGACGCCTTCATGCGTGACCGCAAGATTTCGACGTTCAGCGGCTGCACGTCCACGTTCTGGAGGGGGAGAGAACGTTGCTCCTCCTCACTCGCAACACGACTTTTGTTGGCTCGGCGGAGGACCGTGTGCCCTCCAAAAGCAACGCGCCGCTCTGGTTCCATCCAAGGTGCCTGACTCACTTCCGAAAAACCAAACGGTCGAGTAAACCCGGCAGCACGTGAGAATTCGTGAGTTCCGTGGTTTTTGGGCCCATGTAGCGAACCGTCGTCGTCGGTATATCCAGAGGGTCTGCGTGCTTCGCGAGAGCCACCACCGAGCGTGGGGGAAGTGCGTGCTCTTGGGCCAGCTGTGCCGCTGACTGAAGAGCTCCTCGCTTGATGGAGTGTGCTGAGTATCCGCGCTCGCGCAGACGCTGTGCGATTTGTGTCGTCGTGAGCCCAGTCAGCTTGCCGCTCTCCCCGACCTGAGCCTTCAACTTTCGCAGCTCCTGGGCCATGGGACCCTGCAACTTCACATACCGATGTGCGCGGTATGGATTGATCTTTGCCGTTTTTGGAATGGCTGCCCAGTCCAAAATCACCGACCCGTCCGGTTGTGGCAGCAGGTTCTCCCCTCGGAGATCCTTCACCTCCCCCCACCGCGACGCGGTCATCCATGCCAACTGCATCACAGTGGCGTCGGCCCACGAAGGGGCCCCTTCCACCAGGGCCCGCATGTCCGCTGGTGTGATCGGTGCTGCCTGACGCACCTCCTCCTTTGCCTCGCGCTTCCGGCATCCCGCCAGGTACGCGTCTACCACCGCTATCTCCCTCGTGAGCAGGGACTTCAGTGTGGTGCCGTACTGCACCTTGGTAGAGTACTTGAGCTCCTTCGACTCCAGGAAAACCGGCACCGCGTCGAGGTTGAGCGGCAGTCCGGCTTCGAGGCAAAACGACTGAAAGCCTCTGAGCAGTGATGTGCGCTGCTCCCATGTGGTCGGCTCGTACATGTCTGCCGCCACTTCGTTGACCTGGCTCCTCAGAGCCGACAGGTGAGGGGGCACCGCCTCCAACCCGTCCCAAAACATTCGATGGTCGTTGACCGACGTTCTTGGCGGTAGCGACGAGTGCGGTCGACTTGCCACCCCTCCGAAATTTGTGTGCGGCACCAACTTTGCAATCTCCACCAATGTCGGTCGCCGAACCTGTGGTCGACTCACCTTCTCCAAGCTCGCGGGGTCCGTCGACCAGTTTCCTACCTCCGCCGCTGCCTTTCGCGGGGCCGGGAGTCATACCGCAGACCCCGCCCTCCCGTTTTTTGTGCCGGACGAGGAAGTACGGCTCATAGGACGCTCCATGATGGCCTTGGGCTCTCCTTTCCTGTACCGGGATGGTTGCGGACAAATCGCGGATTTGTGACCCGTCTTTCCGCAGTTGTAACACACGACAGAAGACGCGGGGGCAGAAGACCCTGTTGTCTTGTAGGCGTCCTTCTTGCCAGACAAACGTAGAACTTTGAGGAGCGGGTCGAAATTGTACGAGTTCTCCTCGCACGCCTGCAGAAACTCAGTCTCCGTCATCTTGTACGAGGATCCATTGACCCTGTAAAACAACGTCAAACCCATCCTGCGCCCAGTGCCCTGGTGGTCAGCCCAATACCGCGGGTCGGCCTCCGCCGCCAACAGCCACCGCAGGACCGCCTGGAAGGCATCATTCACTGGCGCAGTGCGGGGTGCCTCGCCGCGAAGAAAAATGTGCTTCAGCTGCTTCTCAATCTCGTAGGGAGTCTTCCCACGGAACCAAGGACGCCATGTGCAGACGTCCATTGGGTCGAACTCCACCTTTAGCGACTCAGCCACTGACTCGGCGTCGTCTAAAAAAGTCAGCCGAGACTTTTGTGTTGGCGCCCCAGGCCCGTCTTCCCCGTCGTCATGCTATCAACTGGTTGTGCATCGCTGCCTCATGGCGTGCACCTGCAACCTCCGAAGCTGCCTGCGCCCGCAGTAGGGAGATGTCCGACTGCAGGCGGACTGTGCCCACAGCCGTGGCGGACTGTGCCATCCCCATGTAGTACCCCGCCAGCTCCGTCTTTTGGATCAACCTCTCATAGAGGTCGCGGGTCTCGATGCGGAAACACTCAACGTGATGGGGGAACGTGTGCCAATCGAACGTCTCGTATCCATCCCTGAGGATCAGAGAAGTATTCTCCCGCCTGACTCGGAAGGTCACAGGCCGAGAATCCGATCCGTTCGGGCCCACGATCTGCAGAGTCAACTCGCATTCGCCCTGCTCGGGAAGGTTCTCATATTAATCCGTGCAAACCAAGTTCCACTTGGACGGATCGATGAGTATAAGCGCCATATTGAGGGAAACTACCTAAAAGGGTTTTAATATATTCATGGATCTACTAATTTTTTTTAATATTTTTTTTTAAAACTGATGAAACAACTGGCGATGATTATAAGAAACAACTGGCGATGAATATGTAAAAAACTTGCGAATAAAACTCTGAGAAGGGAGTTTTCAGCGAAAAACCGGAGTTTGTCGATATCCTGATCAGAGAAGGGTTTGCAGAAGAGGAAAGATTTTGAATGAAGAACGTGCGGTCTGGAGGGAATACGGTTTGCAAGCTGCACGCTTGACGTCACCGTATGACTGCACATTTAGGACTTCACGACACCTTTGGTTTGTTTAATGAATTAGTGGATAACGGCTGCAACGAACCGAAAACAGCTGGGCACAACTGCCTATGCCTGCTGCCGGCCGTGAGCATTCAATAAACTAGCCCGTACCTAGTTAAGGGCCACAGAGGATCACTGGTAGAAAAGAAGGAAAAAAAAAGGGAAAAACGAAAAACGTGAAACCAAAACGAACGAATAAAAACTAAATTGTGTTGATGACACTCCTGGGTTAACGATGTACTCGAATCACCCTTTGTCATTCATTAGTATTATCTCTCTTTTTCTGGTTGTTTGTTTGACTGTTTGTTTAGATTATCGTCTAATTTGGTCTCATTATATTTGCTCAATTAATGTCTGCAAAATTTTTGTTCCACAAAAACCCAAAGGAGAATGATGATAATAACAATCATCACTTAGCTAACAAATGAAGAAAGTTTTACACAGAACGGTAAAACAAAACTAACAAACACGAAGAACAAAACACAACATGCACCGTGGCTTCGATCCTCTCCTGCGGGGCGGGTGGGTGGCGAGAAAAGTACGCAACGATTGTGAGAAATCAAGCTTTCCACTTTCGTTTGCCAGACAAGCGACGAGGGAGGAGGAAAGAAAAGGGGTGACAAAAAGGGGGTTTTAGGATGAAAGAAAACCTATCCAGGCAATACTGCTAGCAGCAGTACCTGGTATACGCCGTATGTACATTGCTTGTTCATCTTTACGGAAGGCACTAATACCTCGTGATACACTCGCGTCTCGACACGCTCATACTCGGTTGAGTAGCGCTTTGTCGATATCTTGATCAGAGAAGGGTTTGCAGAAGAGGAGAGATTTTGAATGAAGAACGTGCGGTCTGGAGGGAATACGGTTTGCAAGCTGCACGCTTGACGTCATCGTATGACTGCACATTTAGGACTTCACGACACCTTTGGTTTGTTCAATGAATTAGTGGATAAGCGTCTGCACTGTTCCATCAAAACAGCCACCCCAAAGTTAGCGAACTGCGTTGTCTTTTCCTCTCTGCTACGTATCTATTCACAGAGTGGGGAGTAGCCATTCTGCAGCTTAGGTACTCCGAAGTCGTCTGCGGGAGACTCGATCGTCTGCGCCGAGTAAGTTTCCCCAAAGTGGCGAGACAAGTCGTCAGCCGGGTTGGTCTCGCCTGCCATGTAAAAGAAAACCACTACGATTTCCTTCTCATGGAACAGAGCATTGGTGTACTGGAACAGGGTGTTCAAAGCGTATCCCCGACCCATTCCACCGTACCCGTTTTGTCTCCGCTGGGCTCTCACGATCGCAATGTGGTCTGTCACCACCGCCCACATTTGACCCGGGCGCGGGTTTCGTCGGTACATAAGCTTTAGCAGACGGAGAATCGCTGCCGGTTCGGCGTGCGCTGAATGTTTGGAAGTGAAGAAAAAGGGGTCGATGCGTGCCAAAAGTTCATCCTCGTCCTCCGCCTCCGGCGCACCGAGCTCACTCATCCACCGCTGCTGGTACTTGAACGCGGTGCCATCTTTCCAACGAGAGATTGCACCCCAGCCCTCTGCAGAGGCATCGGTGAAACTGATACAATCGTACCGCTCATCTTCGTAGCCAACGTGCACCGCCGGCGCGATCTCCCACCATGGGTTTTCGGTCAGCTTCGCGCCGAGGTCTCTCATCGTCCTATTAACACGCGGATCCAGGTATGAGAGCTCCGAGTCCCACGGGCGGCCTTGGTCGACCAGACGATAAACCCCTCTATATGCGCGGAGGAGGTGAAAAAACATGGCGGGGTTCATGCGGGTCGTGTGGAGGGCATACATCTCGAGCGACAACAACGAAGCAAAACTGCGGCAGGTGAAGCGTTGCGCCTGCAGTGCTAGTGTCAGCTTGGAGACTGTCTTGATCGAGTTCGACACCAATCGTTCCCTGCCGTTCCACATAAACCGTTCGCCAAGAAAGGTCTGCTCCTCTTGAGCCAGCCTGAGAAGTTCGTCGTCTGACTTGTGCAACAAACTCTCTCTGTCGGGTGACGTCAGCAGGTTCGCCTGTCGAATCCTTCGCAGAATAGCACGCACCGCCGCAGCAAAAACGTACTCTTCACCCGCTTTTGCCGCTATCATGATGTTGTCGATGCACGTGTAGATGGTGGCTTCCGTGGCTACATCAACGATCATGTTTGTGATGGACTGCCCGACCGCGACGCTCCAGCGAGCACCGGTCGGTAAAGTTTTGAGGCGCAAATAATACTCTGGCGATGTGTGGAACACGAATTTATCCCTCGTCTCCTCGGGAAGGGGGATTGCGTCGTAGAACGCCTCGAAATCGATTTGAAGCATATACTTCGCGTAACGCAGGCCTTGTCGCCGCTCGAGGCGTCCCGGACTTCGTAGCTGCGGGAGTTCCTCCTTCCGAATGACGGAGCTAAGGTGAGGTTCGGTGATCAAACGTCTTCGGCCTTTCATCTCCGGAACAGTGAAGACATTCACCCCGTGTACGCCGTCGTGGAGGCGTCGTCCGTAGTGTGTTGGGCAGCGTTCAAATTTGCCCATTCGGACAGCTCTTTCCTCATCCTCAGTGCTCATCTTCGTAGCCTTGATGGTCCGCGACGTCCGGAGAAAGTCGAAACGCGAAGCATAGAGGAATTTCATCGCCGCTTCAAACAGCTCGCGCGTGGAATCGTGTACCACGTTCAACCTGCGCACGGCCTCAAAATCCACCAGCGTCGTGCGCTTCAGGTGCAAAGGCCATTCAGCGGGCGGTGGCATGACCAGCGGGGGATCACCACTTCTGCGGCGAATTTCCTCGTAGAGCGAGGTTAGCTGGATCCCCAGCTCCCACGCCTTGGGTGCCTTTACGCCGACGTGTTCGGCACGAGGAGGGCACGGGCCGCGTTGTCCTGCGCAGTTACGGCCTCCGCCGTAAGATGGCGGCCATAATCCAGGTACCGCTGCAACGTCGCCACTCGTGTATGCCCCGTCAAACGCATGACTTCGGTGTCCGTCGCTGCGTTGTCCGCTAAGCACCTCGTCGCTCCCTTGCGCACTGAAGGGAGTGCCGCTGACGGGTTGAACAGCCTCAAGGCCGCTCGCACCGTGTCTTTGAGGGGACCCACGGGGGAGAAGAGGAGTTGCCCGGGACCGCGTGTCGCCAGCAGCTGCTGCGGGCGCGCCGGTGGAAGTGGTCCACCCACACGAAGGCACTCTCGAACATCCGGGCGGCTCTGTTCAACTTACCGTTGTACTCGAACGTGCAAAAGCGCGTGGACCTCACGGAGTACCCTCAATGGACAGCAGCGATCACAGCCGCGCATCGTTTCGAGCGCGAGACGCCCTCGAACCCGCCCCCGCCCATCGATATAGGCCAGTACAGGCAGGCGAGAGAGCACCTTCGCCTCCATCCGATTCCGTCTCTGTACCTGGGCATGATGTGGGCATTCGCGGCGAGAGCGGGGGACATCGGCCAGTTGAAGGCACGGGACGTCCACTTCAACCCGACAACGAACGAGGCGGAGCCGACGATCCGGGTGAGCTTGACAGTTCGGCGCGGGAAGGGAGCCCGATTTCGCGGACCCTACACATTGGCGTCCCGGCTTCTGCGCGCGGACGCTTCGGTTCT